ACATGGGGAGGTGAATGCAGGTACCCCAGACCCACCTAGCTGTTCCAGTGTACCCAGAAGGTGCAAGAGTCCCAAACAAGCTGGGCTCCAGGGAAAGCAGGCACCTCCCTGCTTGCTTAGAACTCCACAGTTCTCCAAGCACAGCCGGAACGGATCCAGTAATCTTTATACTGGGTTTCACAATTATTTTTGCCATGCTCTCACTGAAGAAAGATTTTTCCTTTCATTGAATACAAAAGAGTGTCATTTTACCTTTCTTTGGGCTAGATTTCACTGATCATGAAGCTACCTCCAGAGGAAAACTCAGCTGTAGTTGGCTAAAAGTACACAGCTTGTTGGTCTCAGGAAGTTCACATGAAAGATGAAGCTGGCACACACCACAAGCTTCTCCTTGTCATTTTCCTGCCCATGGGGCAGCATTCCACCAGGAACACTAAGGGGAGAGAAACAGGATCTGGACATGCAGCACACCCCCACTCTAGGTCCACTGCTAACAAAACCCAGGGCTTCTGTTCCCATCATCTATTGTCATAGAACAGATCTCCCCCAGCCCTCCTGTATAAACCACTGCCATTTTATTTTCCAGCATTATTTCTTTGTTGATAGGCTCACAGGAGAGCTCTTTGCTCCACTTGACCTTAGCTGAAGTTCGAGTCATCTGGAGGCTGGATCCGGTCTCCCTCACGTGGCTCCCTCATGTGAGCTTGGAGTGAGCTTAGTGGAGACAGCTAGGAGGTGGGCAGCCTTCACTTGGCTTTCTGCACAGTATCTTGAGGTGGTCTCTCTAAAGGTAGCTAGGCTTTTTGATTTTCCAAAAGGTAGAAATAGAAGCTATGAGGTTTCCTATGACTTAGGCCCAGAACTAGTACCATGTCCTCATATTCATGCATCAAAGCAGGTTACTGACCATCCTAGGTTCTTCCTGAGCAGGTATTGTACGCGGGTAGACATGATTCCTTAAACAGGGGAGAGCTGTCTTTGGAGAATGGCTGCTATGGGTTCTTTAACTGGTGCTTCATGAGGGTGTGAGAGTGACCTATGCAATGTACCATAGTCTGCCTATTTAATAATACATGTAGGTAAAACAAAACAAGCAGTCTAAAAATATTATGGTGCAAGATCTCAGCATTCATGCTAATATTTCTTGTCTTTTTCGTTTTTATCGGTACCAGGGATTGAACTCACGACTGCCTGTTTACAAGGCAGGCGCTTATGCCGCTGAGCTAAATCCCCAGCCCTGTGCTAATATTTCTTAATAAAGAAATTGGGTAAAGGGTTAATTAGATGTGGTTTAAGTAAATGTCTCCTCTAGCCCTTTAGAGATTTTCCTTGGTTTTCCTGGTTTATATCTAATGTTGAATTTCTTCTGTGATTCATGCTGCTCTATTGTAATGATCATTCCCCTTCTGGGGAAGCTCTTCTCATCACCTTCATTCATGCAAAGGTCATAATTTATGTGCAGAATCTTTGCCAAATATCTCCTTCACAGATGCTGTCATCTCTAATGGCTTCTAGATGATGTTAAAAGCCTAAGGAAGAGCGTTCTTCAGCAGATATTTCAAAATACTATCCTGCAAATAAAATTTCCCTAACTGTGATGCTTTTTTGATTTTGGAGCACTGCATCTTATGAGCAATTAAAAGGCTTTGAAGGCCCTGGACTCTTGCTCAATGAGTGACCTCCAAGTTCTGTGGAACCTGAAAATGGACCCATACATAACAAATCTTGGGCTTCGCAGCTTCCAGAATTATAAGCAACACATTTCTTCATTGTTGTTTATGACGCTGCTTAGTTTATGACATTTTGTTACTGCAGCCAATGTGATGAAGACAAAGAGTTACCATTCTCAAAGGACCCAGGACAGTGAGTTTCAATAATTGCTGGTAATTATTTTGGCATCTATCCACCCCTTGATTTCTAATACAAAGTCTGCCTCCAAAGTACTAGTCCTACAACTTTAGGTCACTCCAGTTATCCGCCTAAGTCATTTTTCTCAGAGTTTTTGAATAGAAACATTCAATAAACTTCAAGTAACTCTCTGTATGTTTGGTATTTCTACTGTCTTTAAGAACCTTTTTTATATTTTTAGCTAACACATTGTTTGTACCTATTTATAGGGTAGGGCACAATAATTAAATACATGTGCACAATGCATAATCATCAGAATTGGAATAATTAGCACGTGCATCTCCTCAGACAGTCCTCTCTGAGAAACTTTGGACTCTTCCAGTTATTTTGAAATGTATCATAAATTGTTCAGGACTGTAATTATCCTACTGTGCTGCAGGACACTAGAATGAATTGTTCCTGCCTGCCTAAACTCTAGTACTTGGTATCAAAGTTTTCTCTCTTGCTATTCATCAATTCCCTTTCTAACCTCTAGGGACCATTACTCTACTCCTTTTTCCTCTGAAATTGTTTTGTTTTTTTCAGCTTCCATAAGTGAATAAGAATGTACAGTTTTTGTCCTTCTTTGGCTGGCTTATTTTATTTAATGTAATGTCTTCCAGTTTCATCCTTGTTGCTGAAAATGATAAGATTTTATTCTTTTAGGGCTGAACCATAAAAGAATGTGTATATCTGTCATAGTTTTTTCATTCATCAGTAGACACCTTGGTTGATTCCATATCCCAGCTATTGTGATTATGGCTGTCACAGACTTAGGAGCAAAGTGTACCTCTTTGGTGTACCGGTTCCATTTCTTTTGCATATACGTCTAATAGGAGGATTGCTAGAATGTCTGGTACTTATCTTCCTACTTTTGTGAGTAATACCTCCATATTATTTTTCCTAGCAGCTGTAGCAAGCGTATGCCTTCCCCTTTCTTCAAATCTTCATCCACATGTTATTTTGTATCTTTTTCATAAAAGCCATTCTAAATGAGTTAAACTGACATTTCATTGACTTTTCTATTCATGTTTCTTTGGGGATTAGTGATACGGAGCATTTCTCCATATATTTGTTGGCCGTTTGATATCTTCTTTTGAGAAATAGCTATTCATATAACTTGCCCATTTTTAAATCTTATTTTTTGGTGTTGTTTGAGATCCTTACATATTGTGAATATTAATCTTTTGTCAGATGAATAGTTTGCAAATATTTTATCCCATTCTGCAGGTTGTCTCTTCAGTCTAATCATTTCCTTTACTGTGCAAGAGCTTACTAGTTTGATATAATCCATTTGCCTATGTTCACTTTTCTTATTCATGTTTTTGGGGTCGTAGCCACAAAATCTTTGTCCATACCAGAGTCCTGAACATTTGGCCAGTGTTTTCTTCTGCACTTTTATCACCCTACTTTGTGTTTTTCATTTAAGTCCTCCTTTCAATTTCTTTTTACTTCTATAATTGCCTCTTTTAGGACTTTTTCCTTCCCATTGGTTTCCAAGTTGTACTTTGTTTTATGTGGTTACATTCTAATCTTTGTCAAAATCTGAGTCATTTATTGCCTTTTTCTTTCCTCCACGATACAGAAATAGGAAAACTTTATGATCACCCATCTCCTGACTTATGCACAGTTCCATATTTTTTCTTTAAATTTTCTAACTCTCAAGACCTTGTTATTGGATTGTACAGATGCTGTTTGTTGAGATTTTAAAGTTAATTTTTATTCATTTCTAAAATCGACTTGGTCAATGTATGGCTTTTGTTCTTACATCTTCAACCTCTTCTGCTTATGCACGCACATTTGGCATTTGATGATTCTGAATCTGCTCATCTAATTCTTTTTGTAAAATTTTTTTTATTTTTTATTGGTACCAGGGATTGAACTGATGACCACACACTTGCAAGGCAGGCGTCTATGCTGCTGAGCTAAATCCCCAGCGCCCTACAGGTCTAATTCTGCAATGAGTTGCTTTTTGCTACTTTTGCTCATGGTGCTTTGTTAGTCTTTCAGTTCCTTGTTTGTGAATTTTTGCTCCTATGTCTTGGAAATGACATGTGTAAGTATTTGTACCTAGGCAGAAAGCGCAAAGTCGAGGAGTGCAGAATTTGCTGCTGCCTCTTTCGGGGTCTGATAGAATTATTAACCTAAGAGTAGTTTAAATCAAATCTTGCTTGAGGTTTTTGTAACACCCTAAATAAATATTTTTTTCCGCAAGCTTATATGATGTCAGGATTGTGATTTGAAAAATCAAGGGAACTTACTCGGTTCAAATTTCTAGGCAGCCTATTTTGTTAACAGGGTCACAGATTCATTTCTTATTCAGTCTTTCAGGGGAAACTGTCAGGTATCATCTGTATCATCTAAAACAGAAATTTGTGTATGGAAATTTCACTGAATTTATTTTGGTTTTGGAAAGTCGGTCTCATCTGCGGTGCGGCTACCCTAGACAGACTCTCAGAAGTGTGCCAAGCAGGTCAGTTCCAGGTTTCTGCTTACTCTTCCTGTGCCCATTCCAAGTAGAATTCCAGTCACGTCCTCAAGGTGAAGCTGCCTGGGGAGGGCATCTTGAGCGTAGCTCTGCTGAGGGCCACAAGTTGTCCTTGGGCTGTACCAGGATGCACATACTGTCTTCCAGCATCAGGACCCTGGCTCTCCGCTTACCATCTCTCCCTCTGCTTGGTTACTGAATTAGATTCCTTCTCTCTGCCCAGCGTTTGCAGCTCTCTCTAGAGGAATAGGGGTTTTTCTGTACCTGAATTGCCCTCTTCCAGAGATCTCTCCAGTCCAAGAAGTCATCTTGAAGAGTAGCTGGTTCCACACGCTGCTCTCTGATCAGGACTAGGCCCTGCTCACAGCCTCCCAGCCTCAGTCGGCTTAAGCACTGCCTCCACAATGCAAGCGAGGCAGCCTCCTCTTTTTTTGTCTCATTGTTTTTCTTCCTTAGAAACTTTCTCTCTTTCATGTTCTTGTTCACGTCCTAATCCAGTGCCCTGTGCTTACATACAAAATGTCATCTTTCTTGATATATCTTTCTTGATAACAGCTCAAATCCCCACCCACATCTTTCTAGTCTGGGGATACAGAATTGAATTCAGATGAGAGCCAAACTCACGATGGATAGAATGTTCCCCCTACAACCTCCCCACATCTCTATCCAACCCTTTAATCCTCTGGCATCTTTTTTCACTTCTAGTCTAAGATTTCCAGAAGCAAACCTGGAGGAGAGACATGAAGAAGGTCAAAGCAACGCCAGCCTTGTGCATTACCAAGAAGCAGATTCTGTCTCTGACATACCCACCATCAATGTAGAGGAGGAAGATGGGGGTCTCCAAGTCTGCCGTGTATGTGGGGACAAAGCCAATGGCTATCACTTCAATGTCATGACCTGTGAAGGATGCAAGGGCTTTTTCAGGTAAAGTGACCATGACCTGCACTCGCCTACCACCACTGACACACTGGTTCCCACCTCCTCGGAAGCTGCTGTCAGCCCCCCGGAAGTCCAAGGGCCTCAGTCTGATCTGTCTCCCAGGTCCCACAAAGTCCTCCAAATTAGCTTCAAGTGCAGAATTTATACTTCAGGGGAATCTTTCATCTTCAAATCTTCCTGGGTCTTCCAAAGAAAAACTCCCTTCTGCTGTGAAGCATCCTCCATGTGGTCTTGAATAAATGGTTAGTAAAAGAGTAAAATATTTGAAAATCCAAAGTGAAAATATTCAAATCAGTCTTATAGGATGGTAGTTAAGTAAAGAATGGCATAAAAGAAAACATAAAACAAGCTTTCCTAGAAACAAACAGGGGTATTCAAAAATTAAAGAGCAGTATATGTTCCAGCATATAGAGAGGCAGGACTGGACAAGAGGATGCTGTTGTCCAGCTGGAGAAAGACAGAGCTATGCAGCAAAGCCAGCTTAGTAAAGTCTAGGACTGAGAAAGCAGGGGAGGGGAGGAAGGAGTGACAGGGCACACAGTGCCTACCGTAAGGCCACGCTTGGGGACTTCTGTGCATTCCTAGACTACTAACCTATGCCAGCCCCTTGCAGAGGTCTTCCTGTTGGCTGGACATTTAAATGGAAGTGAACTCTAACCCAAGGTGTCACCTTACAATCCCAAAGGTAAGATGGTAGCCTGAGAATCATTACTAGAAGATTCAGTTGTTGGCCCCAAGTACCCACAGAAAGACTTCCTGGTATGCCTGGGCCCAAAAGGTGCTGCAGTGGTCACGGCGTTGAGAATTCAGTGTCACCCGAATGAAGAAATCTCAGTTTCAGGGCAGCCAGGGCCAAGCGTGAGTCACTGTCAGGTCTCAAGGGGTTAACTGTCTAGAGTAGGTCCAATAAGCGCTTATCACATGGGCTATCGCAGGGGTGAGACCTGACACTGTCAGGCTGTGTACAGCTCCAAGTCACAGAAAAACTGGCTCAAACTGGCTTAACAATAAGGAAATTATGCTACAGTTCATAACAAGAAATCTGACGGCCTCTGATGAGTCCCATGACTCACGTCTTTGCCTTTTCCTCTTCTGCCTCTTACTGGTGAACTCTCTTGGAGCACAGGTCCTAGCCAATACCCATGATGTTCAGCCAAGGAAGAAAAGCTCATCTCTTCTTCCTGTAAGGATAACACAGTTGTCCTAGAAGAGGCCTTCACACCACATGGACTGTAGAGCTGACCCTAGTGACTGCTGTTTGGAGCTGCCACTGCATCACTGAGCAGGCACTGGCCTGGTGGCTGCATGGAGTCACGGGCACATCTGAATCACACGTGGGATCTTGCAATAGAGAAGAGGGTGTCTGAGGAGCTGTCTATGCAGTGCTGGGTGTAGGGCTCCTCTGCTCTCTCCTTCCCACCCAGTGCTACTCCTGGGTCCTCGGAGGCAACATAGCATCGTGCGAAGGAGCTTGGGTTCAGAATCACGCAGACCTGGACTCACATTTTGTCTCAGTATTTACCTGTAAGACTGGTGATTTGTCTGCTCAGAGCCTTAGTTCTCGCATCTATGCAAGGCAAATAAGAGGATAAATTTTAGTTTTGAAGAGTAAATTCGCAAAATATCTAGCTTACCATTTCTATAGCATACCTCTAATAAATGTGGCCCTTCCTCTCCCATCCTGTTCTCCGTGCACTTTGGAGTAGCATCAGAGGTCTCTTACCCAGGCCAGCAGAGAGGTGAGTAGCACTTGTGAAAAAGACAGGGTAGTCAACCGATTGAACAGCTCAAACCTGTGGGTCACCATCAGCATGGTTCGGCCTCTGGTCCAGCCTTCAAGGTCGGCCAGCCGCCTCTCTGACCTAGGCCACGTTTCCAAGCTAGCTTCCTCATTTTCCAGGGGGTTTCATTTCCTCCAGCTGGGCAGTGAAGGGAATTCAAGCTCGGGGTGCATGGGCAGGGGCTCAATGGGAGTTTGTGACGCCTGGGCAGTGGTGGAGGGGGCTTGTGCCGGATTTGCCCACTGCCTGCCAACTTCAAGGGCCCGTGGAGTGCCTCTGAACATCTTTGCCCGCTGAGTCCATCCCAAGAACTAACTCTTCAATGGGAAACCGTTATCTAGTGAGGTCTTAAAGTTTTCTCACACTTGGCAGCTTCCTCCCACTGGCCCTGACACCCCGATCTAGAGTGACAGCTGCTCAAGGGTGGGGGCTGCTTTCATTTCTATGCACCAGGGGTCAGATTCCAGCTCCTAGCAGGCCTTCAGGACAGGCCTGGGGCTCAGCTATGCTCCTAGTGAGCCACAGCTCTGAACTGGGAGGCCTCTCGCCAAGGGACACTGCCCAGTAGTGGGTAAGGAGGGGGAGGGGCAGGTGTTTGAGGAAGGGGCTGGGGCCTGGAATCCGTTGTCCCCGGGGAGGCACCGTGTGTCAGAAGACACCCCAGCCTGGGCAGCCCTAGGTTGGAGTCTCTTCATTTCCACAGCTGGAGGGAAGGAAACACCATGAAAAATGGGGCATCTGGCCTGGAAACATGGTCAGGGAGTCTACGAGGGCTGCACCGGAGGCCAAGCCCTGCTCGCGGTGACCCACTTGGTGACTTTCTTCCCCTGCTCCTGCTCTTCCACCTGAGCCCGCAGTCCTACACAAGAGGCTGCGCCTGTGCCTGTCCTAGACCTGGCACCACTCGGGGCACAGAGCCCGTGTCCAGGTGGCCGCACCCGCAGCTGGGAGGCCATGGCCTAGCCTGGCCCGTAAAAATCTGTCTTCTGTTTCGTCGCAGGCGGGCCATGAAACGCAATGTCCGGCTGAGATGCCCCTTCCGCAAGGGCGCGTGCGAGATCACGCGGAAGACGCGGCGACAGTGCCAGGCCTGCCGCCTGCGCAAGTGCCTGGAGAGCGGCATGAAGAAGGAGAGTGAGTGCCTGCACCGGGCCGAGACAGGGAGGGCGACCTCCTGTGCGTGCGTGCGTGCGTGCGTGCGTGCGTGCGTGCGTGCTGCGGCACCCGCGTGTGCTGAGTCCGCCCTGCGGTTGGCCTGCAGTGATCATGTCCGAAGCAGCCCTGGAGCAGAGGCGGGCCTTGATCAAGAGGAAGAAGCTGGAACGGGTGGAGATCCAGCTTTCCGGAGCTCAGGGGCTGACAGAGGAGCAGCAGATGCTGATCAGGGAGCTGATGGAAGCTCAGCTGAAAACCTTCGACACCACCCTCTCCCATTTCAAGGACTTCAGGGTAGGGAGCCCCTGCGTGGTCCCAAGGCAGGGACCCCCAGTATCCCCTGGGAACTTGCCAAGAAATGCAGATTCTCACCTCTGCTCCTAGAAACTGAGGTGACACCAGACACCCAATGATTGTGACACAGGCTCAGGGTTGAGAGTCTGTTCTCTCCCGAGGCAGCAGCAGCATTGACTGTGAAGTGCAGAGGAAGCCAAGATGTGCCAGTCTGTTCGCTGACTTTTAGGGTTTACAGGACCTTCAGGACTGGGGGGTGGGGCACAGCCTTTGCAGAAGCGCTGGGCCCTGCTCCTAATGCACTCCCTCCCTGGATGCATGCAGGTATCTCAAGTGACCTGCCCAGCTCAGAGACCTGGAGTTGGCCCGAGGCCTTGGCTCTGTTCTTTGCCTCTGCAGCTCTGTGTCCTTCTCTCTGTCTTCTGAGCCCAACAGCAAGAACGCTTGGGACGAACAGGGGAGGAGAACGTCTCTGCCTTCCTTCTGACTATGCAGAGATAGTGTGACCATTACTTCAAAGATCTAGAAGGCACCCCTTGATAGATGATGGCCAGATAGACGAACTAAGTGCAGTGTGTCCACCCGTGTTTACATAAGTGTAAATGCCTAGGATGCTGTGTATTCTTAGCTGCAGACGGCCATCTGGGGTCTATGTGAAGTGCATGCTCTCTGTCCTCTCTCTACTCTCCGTCTTGTATTGCAGCTGCCAGAGGTGTTTGGCAGTGGGTACGAGATTCCAGAGTTTCTACAGACCCCACTGGAAGACGACAAATGGAACCAGTTCAGGGAACATCTAAGTACTTTGAAGATCTCTCTGCAGCTGCGGGGAGAAGATGGCAGTATCTGGAACTACAACCCCCCAGACAACAACAATGGCAAAGAGATCGTTCCCCTGCTGCCCCACCTGGCTGACCTGTCCACCTACATGTTCAAAGGCGTCATCAATTTTGCCAAAGTCATCTCCCACTTCAGGTAGGACATGGGGCTGGACAGATAGATGTAGAAAGGAAAACAACCAGTTATGTTCAAGGGACCTACCTGGCTCAGTGCTTCGAACCCTCCTTTGTTGCTGCCCCTCAGCGCTCTAGGACCATCGCTGTGTTGCCCATTAGCTCTGGGCTGTGGGCTTGTCATGCAAACCACTGTGTCTCAGGGTCCGCACCTGGAAGTAGGAACTAATCACACAATTTATGAGGCTGTCATACGGAATAAGAAATTATCTAAAGAGCACTCACCACGTGGTAAACATCGAGAGAGTAGTTACCTTCCCAGTTTCCCTCTGTATGAGTGGGAGTAAGAAACTGACAGTTTCAGAGCAAAGAATGAGTTGGAAGGAAAAAGAAGTCAACAGAAATTGAAGAGAGGAAGCAAATGAATAGATGCTGGGCCTCCAGCTGTTGCAGCCCAGAGAAGGCTGAGCTGGCCAAGGTGGTCCTGGGACCAGGTCCTCCAGACCTAGGCATGACAGCAACAGCCGTAGCTGCTGGACTCAGTGGGAGACCTGAGACTGCCCTGGTCGAGTAGGAGCTGCGGCACTGTGAGATGGAGATAGAGCTGGGGTCTTTGACTCTGGGTTGGCCTCCTTGCTTTGCTGAGCTTAGTCGAGTGGGGCTGAATGACACGTGCCAGGGGCACAGACTTCATGGGCAAGCAGAGGGCAGGTTACATTTCAAGAGCTCCTAGGTTTTCCTGTGTCCCTGCTGTTGACATGCGGGATTTAATAGGGTAGGGTAGCAACAGGCTGGAATGAGTTCAGATTGTGAGATATTAGGTCAAGGAACAGGAGGAGAAGTCCACCTGCTGCCATGGACATGGGTTGCGTCTGTTGATCCATGAGTGAATACTAGAGTGCGAGGGCACTGACTGCTTTTCATGACCACTTGTTTTGAAAACACTGACCCTAAGTACCAATGTCACTTTTCATTAAGAGCAAGGGAAGCTTTCAGCTGATCAGTGGAAGGGGGCTGATTTGGAAATACTGATTTGGAAATAAGGGACCTGAATGCCAAGCTGGGTGGGCATTGAAAGGTCCTGATGGTAGCAGGAGAGGAGAGGACCATAATGGGAGTCACCTGCTTGGCTGGATTGTGATGGGAAGAGATTGAAGGCAACTAGGAAGCAACTGCACTAGTCCTCAGAGGAAGGCACCCATCTGACCTCTGTCTGCCCATCTGTGGGCACTGCCCTGGGAGCTGTCATCCCCTACCTATGCTTGCTGCCAGGGACTTGCCCATCGAGGACCAGATCTCCCTCCTAAAAGGGGCCACCTTTGAGATGTGCCTGCTGAGGTCCAACACAATGTTCAACACAGAGACTGGGACCTGGGAGTGTGGTCGGCTGACCTACTACTTCAAAGACTCTGAAGGTGCCCAAGGGATCCCGGGTGGAGGGTGGGAAACACAACATCCTTCCATCTACGAGGATGGAAGGAGCCATGCCAGGATTTGCCTGGGAGTGCAAGGGAGGAAGACTGGGTGACAGAACAAAAACCTTGGTGCTGACGGCCGGATGTAGGGTCAGCTCCTGAGAACCTGCCCTTCCATCCAATACCTGCCCTCAGGTGGCTTCAAGAAACTTCTGCTGGATCCCGTCATGAAGTTCCACTACATGCTGAAGAAGCTGCAGCTTCATAAGGAGGAGTATGTGCTGATGCAGGCTATCTCCCTCTTTTCCCCAGGTGATGGCCTCCTCCAGGCTGATGACACCCCCTCTGTTTTTTCCTGTTTTCCCCAGGGAAGGTTCCAGCCAATAGCCTTGCTCCGCACTTACTGCACAGCCAGGGGAGAGATGCTGGCTGGCTTCCCTTGGGTCAGTGGGGGTGATTTGCAGCCTTAGTGCTCCCTCCCTGCTCTGCTTGAATGACTCTGCCTCAGAAGATGGTTGGTCAGAAATTCCTCTTGGGGGACACTGAGCCTGTCTGTCCTTGTCCCTACCTACCCTTGCTGGCAGCTCACCGTGTCCTACCTTGCTCCCATCCAGACCGCCCAGGTGTGGTGCAGCGTGCAGTGATAGAACAACTGCAGGAGCGATTTGCCACCACGCTGAAGACATACATCGAGTGCGTCCGGCCCCAGCCTGCCCACCGGTGAGCACAGCGGGGATGATGTCTTAGGGTGTGGGTGTCCACCCTCTTGTCCTGCCTTGCCTCTTGTCTGTCCCCCACTGGCCTCTGCACTGGCCTCTCTAGAACTGTTGTAACCAGGATAGCTTCTCACAACCAGAATTGTGTCTTGTGAGCTAAATGGAAGCATGCTGGTCAGTCAGTCTGAGTGCCAGCCAGGTCTCAGGAGACCCTTTGGGCTCAAGACTGTGCCCCATCGAGGGAATCCTTGTCTGTTGTCAGGGCTTTCCAAACTCATGTCATCCAGGGTCAGGAAGAGCCAGTACTATCCTGAGTCTCCAGTAGGTCTTCTGGCAATAGCCATTGTTAACCTCAGTGAGGATGACAATCGCGGAGACCCCAATAGTGATGGGAATCATAGATCTGTAATTGCTGTCTTACTGGGAGGCGACAGCCATGGTGCTGAGCAGTCAGTGTGCCTGATCTCTTCTAGTCCTCCACTAAAAGAAGTGAATACCGTCACCACTGTGTATGGGAACCAAGGTTTGGGGCAGTTTCCCAGTGTTCCCTGGCCAGAGTAACAGTGGCTGGCAGGGAACTCAGCCAGACTCAAGCTCTTAAATTTCTCAGGAAGAACAGAAATGGGGGTAGGAAATTATTTTCCTTGTTCTGGTTATGACTCAAAACAGGGAGGCTGCCTGGGACTTGATCTAGACAGGGACTTTTCCAGATTCATTGATTCTGAGCCCCCGTGACCCAGTGCATAGCCTGATGTCCATGGGCCCAAACTTTGATTGTAGTGAGTTATGGATATCATAGTGTGAACTTGAAACTCAGATCCTCCTTTGGCCTGTACTTCTTGGTTCAGCATCTTGGGAGGCTGTGGGGCCCGTGTCTTGGTGCTCCCCTGTATAGAGCCAAGAGGCTTGGAGGCACTAGTTTTCTGTCCTTCATGGAGAAACAGAGGCATGTGGTACATCTGAACTCTAGATGCAGAGTTGGATCCAGGAAGATTCCAGTCTGTCTCTTCTAACCTCCAGCTTCCTTTGTTCAGTCCTGACCCTTTGATATTCATGACAGTGTGACTCCCAGCACTGCCAAATTAACCTGTGTGCTCTGCACCTGTGAGGTGGGGGATATCTACCTAGGTCTGCAGACGCAGAAACTCAAGCCCTGTGGACAGGTGAGAGCAGGGAGAGTGCAGCTCCCTCTTCAGGTGCCCCTGAGATGCTCGGAGGTTAAATTTGTGCAACCTTGGAGCAGTGTCAGGCTGAAGGCCAGGAGAAGGCAGGCTGCACCCCAACCTTTCCTCTGGTGACTACAGGTTCCTGTTCCTGAAGATCATGGCTGTTCTCATCGAGCTGCGCAGCATCTCAGCCCAGCACACTCAGCAGATACTGCGCATCCAAGACACACACCCCTCTCTCAGCACGCCCCTCATGCGGGAGCTTGTAAGCAGCACAGATGACTGAATGGTGGCCTTTGGGTGGAACCTCAGGGGGCCAGCCAGACCCAGAGCTCTCTGAGATGCCACTTCTGAGGCCAGATGGATGGACAACGCTGATAGCTGACAATGTTCTGTGACCACAGCAGGGCGGCATTCCTTAGGCACCCCACTGCCCAGTTCAGTCTGTAGTGTGGAAAGCCATGGATCCTGTATGGAGAGTGCACTGGCCCACCAGAGAAGCAAGGCTGCTCTTCCCTTAGACAAGGCCCTGTGGTCGGGGAATCAATTCCAAAATCCCACCAAAGTGCCATGGGGAGAGAGGAAAAGGAGTGATAGTGTCAGTCCTGACCCTTTGGTATTCACCATGACAGTGTGACTCCCAGCACTGCCAAATTAACCTGTGTGCTCGGCACCAGTGAGGTGCAGGGTATCTGAAAAGTGTCTGCTTTGTGATTACCTTGCTCCCACCTCCCACCCGCTGGGCCAACCCCTTCTCTCCCCACTAAGCTGCTGTTGGGGGTGGGTTTCTAGGTCTGTGCTCATCAGCAGGTGCATCGGTGTCTGCGGGAGTCTTCTAGAGAAGCCAGGAGGTCTGCACTGTCAGAAACTTGTGACCTCATTCTAGATCTCTGCATCCACTCAAGCACATTATCAAGTACCAGCATGTTGTGGGATACACACTATTGACTCAGATATACTCTCGATCTCAGAGTTTACAGTTAAGAAAACAAAGCTGGAGCACAAGTAACACAGATCAAAGTGGCAATTGACACATGACACAAGCCCAGGGAACTTCTCTGTGTGGATGGTGACGGCACTGGGGATCTGTGGGTAGCTAGGGCTGCAATGAGGGTACTGAGGACCTTTCTGGGAGGAAGTGGTAGGACCCATACGGCTTGGTGTGGGCAGTTTGCTCCCCACCTGACTGGGTCCTGGCTTTGCCCCGAGGCAGGAACAGACTTGCTCTGTGACACGGCTGTGGCGACTGGTAATAAACATGCTAGAGCAGAATCACTGTGTACACTGGTATTTTCATGGACATCTGCTAAAGCACGTGAAAGTGTCTGCTTTGTTTGTGATTAAATATTTTTTGCATTTCCACGAGTTACACTTTTACATAAAGCATTCACTATTGGAGAACTAGGCTTAGCAAGTATGTTCCTGTTTCTATGTCGAATCCAAGCAAGAGGATATAAATAATGAACTTTTGCTAGAAATGTAAACATGTTTTGGCCTCCTATACTGAAGAAGATAGAAATGTGGAAGGGGGGGAACAGAAATCAAAATAGCACAATGGCTGGAGATGTAGCTCAGCACCATAAGCGCCTACCTGGCAAGTGGTTGTGAGCTTGATTCCTGGTACTAAAAGTAAATAAATAAATATAAATCAAAACACATTATTTTTTATTACTGATTTTATTATTGCTCTTTTCTGAAGACTGCAGGTATAAGAACATAACAATGAATAATTTAACTTGGTTTGTTGATAATTTATATAATTTAAAGTACACATATACCATAATTAAAAATGTAATCAAATTACTCTTAAATAGCTAATATTTGGTTTCAAATTAAAGCACAAGAAAAGTAAACTTTAAGGAACAGATAATTGCAAAGTTCATACCATTTTATAAGCAGGGCAAGTTGAAATTAAATCAATACTATGAATCAAAAAAGTATCAAATATAAAAGCAAATAAACATAACTCTTCAGATTTACCATCTTCTCTGCATCAAGCACTCATTTGCAGAAAAGAAATTGAGGGATAACTCTGTAAGTACAGTGAATACAGCTTTTGTTCTTAGAAATTCTGCTTACTTAGAAATGCTTCTAATTTAGAAATACAAATTTCATCCAACTCTGTCCATGAGTAATATAGGCATCTGCTTTTGCCCAGGAAAATAACTTTCAGAGTTCTGTTCATTCTGACATTGTTGCTAGATGCAGGTTAGGTTAAGATGGGGTTAAGAGGAGATTAAGATGGGATTTAGGGTAAATTTCCAGCCCCCATAATTGATTTTCAAAATACCTAGGCGTTTCCCCAAGCATTGAATGCATATGTATGATTAATAGAAATTATAGAAATTAAGTGTTCTCCAGACTAATGAGGATGCAAGTAAGATTAAAGAGTTCACATTGGATACTTCCTTTAATAGTTTGTTGGGTCTTGTTGATAGGACAAGGAGCCAAATTCAATTTAATCTCAAACATTTGGGTTTCTTCATTATCGCTTTCCATGAGCTTTTTTTGAGAACTAAGCGTCAGTTTCTAGGTGTCTCTGTGATCACTGTTCTTTCACTTTAGTCTTGGCTGTCAGAAGGTGGAGTCAGTGTCCAGAACTGAGGGTGATACAGAAAAAGTGTAACTCATGACCTGTTAGGCATCAAATGTGAGTTTATAGTCTCATAACATTGAAGAATTAAGCCAAAGAAGTTAGTTGTATTGTAAATAAGGGAAGTATTTAATAGCTCCTGGATTTCCAGGAGGGGTACTGAATAGGTGGCCACGGAGGCTCTTTGTTGGGGGAAGTTTATACAGCAAAGTCAGTGTGGGTACATGATAAAAACGTCAACCAATAGGATTACAAGTCTAGCTGCTTAGCTAGCTAATCCTGATACAATAGGGAAATGTGTCAAGTAGCAAGGGTATCTGGAAAGAACAAAGGCATTTTGGGGAAGGGTGGGGAGTATGGGTGAGGACGTTCTAGCCACCTATCCAAGGCACCTCAGGCCTAGCTGGGCCCACCAGCATAAACTCAAGTTATGAACTCTGCAGGCTTGGCTGTGCTTCTCTGACCCCTGGCTTGCTTCAGATTTGCTTCTAGCTACAATTCTGATTTTTGTGCTCTTATTTTTGTGCTTTGGGGGTCCAGCGACACACTAATTTCTAGTGTCTGTTTTAGCTGTCTATATGATAAGGGGATGAGACCTAAGCAAGTTATTGCATACCTTCTGGCTGGTTAGTCTCTTGGTAGCCTGTCCCCAACTTGGCCTAAAACCTTGACATGGGGAACACATCTTCACTGGAAAGACCCACAGTGGTCTCTCTTTTCTGGAGAAAAGAGTTTGTGAAAAAGAAGCATCTGATTAACTTGTTCTCCTTGGCCCCAGACAGCTTGTCAGCCTCCAGGCCACCTTCTACAGAAGCTAGTCTCTCCGTTTGCATTCCCACAGCTTTCCTAACTCTGATGGTGCTGATTGGTGGATTATTCCCAAATCTGAGACATGGACAACCATCCTATGCCTTTTATTTTCTTTCATCAAGGCACTGTCACTGCTTCCTAAACCATGATCCCAAAGGACTCTTTCATCACTTCTTGGAAGGACTGAGAAACCAAATAGTCTTTCAAGATTCTAAATTGAAAAGAACACCTTACAGTACATTTAGGTCAATCCCAATGCAAATAGCTAAGTCAGGACCTAAACAAACCACAACCAAATCCCGAACAAATGGATTTCAATGCCACTGTGAGGACGATACAAGTAACATACTGCTTCTGCTGGTCCAGGCCCCCATAGTGCCTTTTGCCATTTTACAAATGTGAATGGAATCAGCCCACCCCACCGACTCAGTAAACACAGGACCAGACTTGTGGAATATAAATTTGTTTTTATTGAAGCAGCAGTCACATGACCTTATATCTAGCCTTTAGATCAGGCCTGACAAGTGAGTCAGCCCTAAAAGAAATGTTTCTTTTTTGCACTGAGACATAACATGTTTACATACACCATCCAGTATTGGAAATGAGCAGACTCAAAACACGACATGTTGGTTACCTGGGAGGTACAGCAGCCCCCGTTTGTGGTATTCATATATTTTACAGAGACCCCCAAAGTTTATTACCAATAGAATGAAAAAGAAAATACAGCTACACCAAACTATGAACATAGTAACCAAAGACAGCAGCTTATACATGTTTTTACAATCGTCCCGTTTGGGGCTGCTTTCTCTCTTCCAAGCCGTCTGCAAAACTTCCTTTACATCGAATCCAAAGGTTTACAAGTTGGAAGCTGCACCTCTTGTGGCTATAATAGTAGAGTAAGGTCACTGAAAGAATGCGACATGGTGTTTACATCTTGATTTTTATAAGGAATATTCATGTTTCCCTAGAGGTATGGAGATGGTGACTACATACTGCAGTGGCAAAACTGGGTGAAGAAAGAGGGATGGGTACTGAAATAAAGACCACACACTGGTGAATTTTAGTTTCATTTCCAGACTAACCTACTTTTTATTTAATGCAAATTACAGTACCAGTTAACTATTTCCAAACCAAGTCACATAGAACGAAATGTATTTACAAGGGAATGGGAAAGGGCAAAAAAACATTGAGCATATACTTTTCACAAAAAAGTTTATATTTAAAATGAAAAAAAATTCAGTCACAGAGGCATTCAAGTAGTAATAATGTTATACAGATTTTGCTTTTCCTTTATATCAAGACAGATTTGCACAAGTGTTTGCAATAGTTTGTATACAACCCACAGTCCTTTTTATATATATATATATATATATATATATATATATATATATATATAATTTTTTAGACTTTTTAAAGATGGAAGTGGTCACGCTAATTGGTATGTGTACAGGCCCAAGTGATCCATCGGCAACACATTTTTAAATGCAAATTTTACAGGCAAGCAATTTTCATACATCTATCTGTATCTGCCTGTAGACAGATATAGTAAGGAAAAAAAAAACCCAAAAAATTAACACAAGGAAGTCTACTTTATTAAGCTAACTCCCTATACGTACTGGTTGTCATTTTGCTTTTATTACGGAGGTGCAAAACGGAGCAACAAAGTCAAATAAAACAGCATAACCCTTGTGAAAATAATCCAAACCCCAGGGATTACTTTCCAAGCCTCTCAAAGGTAGACCTCAGTCTGGGACTACTGTGCTTCTAATTCTCTTGTTTTCAGTGGCTCAGGTTTCTACCAGGAAAAACAGATTTTATTGCAAAGCATGCTAATTTTTCTATATAGGACAGAAAAGTGTTCATCTTTTTGATTAGATTATCACTAATATGAACAACAGGAATCAGATACAATTTTGGTTTAGAACAAAGAGAAAACCCCAAACTCTTGGGGATCTGGCATTGGCCAAACTTCCTTTGGAAGATTCCAAAGTTAAATCCTTTAAGAAGGAAAGGGAAAAACAAATGAAACGCCAGTGTCTTTATATCCACAGGGGTAGAGAATACAATAGTTCTCTCAGAAACCTTTGCATTGGTGCAAAGGTGACTGTTTAGGCATACTTTGTTAGAACACAAACTAAGAGGATGGGTCTAAAACTTAAGAGGACTTTAAAAATGACGCAATGCATCATTGGAAAGAAGGTGCAGTGTTCTGCCTTGCTGGAATGAATGCATGATGTTTCAAAAATAGTAACCTTTGGTTTGGTAGTTTTTTTTTTTTTTTTTTCTATTCAAGACATTTTATATGGATTACTTGGAGGCAAAACAAATACTTTATATTTTTTCAAAAAAGGCCTACATGTTGGGCACACAGTAAAAAACTGAGTTTTTAAAAGAGAAATTAAAATGACATTTCATTGAAAAGGGGCAGAGATAGCAGGAGAGGGAAATGGGCTAAGAGTCTTCATGTTAAAACATCAGTCCTCTATTGGCGTGGAGGTACTCCATGCCATGGACTGCCAGTAACTGTACTACAGCATTTTAGACCACTGACATATCAAAACTTGATACTGTGAAGATGCCTCGATTTATAAAAAGTCAATCATTTCTCTCTCTTCTCTCACGTGAGAGGGAGGGGAGGGAGAGGGAGAGGGAGAAAGAGACTGACTATGGCAGGCTCCCCAATCTGCTGTTAAGATCCATGGTTAGGGCTTGTGGAAGAGACGAGCAAAATCTAATCTATTTGATATCCTCCAGCTCTAGGGCTCCCAGTACTAAGTCCCTGAATGGACCAAATATGAAATGAAACCGGTCACTGCTGAAGAGTAAACGGACATTCAGAACCAAAGCCAGGGCTTGAATGAAATGAAATTATGAACATAGTTTCCTCTTCCCACTACTGAGCAAGGTATCACTGAACCAACTATGGAGGGGCAAAGATATTGTTGTGAGTTACTATCTTAAAAAGGAAAGGGGAGTACAGGGAGACATGGATAAAGGGAACCAATTAAAACCCTAAAAATGAAAAATAAAAAAAACCCAGAAAACAGAAAACCAAACACATGGAAGCGAAGGCACTCCAAACTATATAGATACACTATACATTGCTAGAGTTATTGTTACAATAATACAGGCCGGTACCTACTGTACAGAGTTAAAACTATATGGCTTTAAAAAGCTCGTCTACATTTTGTCTTGATTATTAAACAGAATCACTCCCCTGAACAGTAACTTTTTGCTCATTCATAACAGTTCCTGGGTCCACATATTTACATACAAAACAATAAAACTTAAAAATATTGAAAAAAATATAATGTACAAGCTTGAATTTGGTGAGGAGCTTTTAATTATTATTATTTACAAAGATATTCAGAGACCTGGCTCTCACTTGTATAAAAGGGTTCTGTGATCCCGCCGTAATGGAGGAGGAGAAATTGTGGATCTCAGCGGCGCGCGCGTGCGCGCGCGCGCACACACACACACACACACACACACACACACACACACACACACACGACGGGGGTGGAAGTAGGGGAGGGAAGTGTTTTCTAAAACCACCACTGATTTTTATGGACTCCAGCAGGTACACCAAACCCCAAGTAGTGTCTGTATCTGCACGTCTGGCTGGGCAGTTTGATCTGAAAGCAGGTCCACTTTTCTGGCACAGACCTGCCTGGTGAGATTATTCATCTTTTCTAAAACAGTCTATCAAATCCTATTCTTGTAAGGGACTATGCTGCTAATACTTTGATTTCAGACCTCTTTCAAGTTCTAATTAGCTCTTAGAAGCACTTGATAAAAAAGGAAAATTAAACTTGATTTGGTTTGACTGAGCATGTCTCCTTTCCCACGAACTGTGATATGGCGAGAGGTTTGAGAAACCCCTTCTGTTGCCTAAGCCTAGCTGAACGATGAGAACTAAGATGGTTCACAGTTGTCCTTCTGAGTACTGGTTCACTTCCGCAGGTGTACAACTCTCTTGGACAGTCACACACACACGGCGAAGAAACAGGACAGAGTGCTAAGGCCTGCACGAGGGCTGCCAAAACGCCACACTTCCTGACCACCTGGAAGGCAACCTGCCCTAACGTGACCTAAGTGGCAATGACAAGGGCGAAGGGTGGTTCCACACAACCTGGGGCTCAGCTCTGAAGCTCTACAGTTATCAGCTAACCCTGGAAGGCTGTGGAGGAGCGGGTAGGAGGGGAAGTCGGCCATTACTCAAGGGATCTGTAGATGTAAAATGTAACTGATTGTGCCTTAAAGATTTGTAGGTCAAGTAATGGCCCATAAGCACCAAGGTGACTAAGGTTCATTTTAGAGTATATAAGGCCCACAGAGATACCAACCTTGAAAATATAAAAACAAAATCTATTTCCTCACTGCAAATGTAATCCTTCAGTCCTCCTTGCTTTCCAAGGAATATTGCTTTTTCTTCAAAAACGAGACTGATTCTTACACCATTCACTGAGAAACAAAGAAAACAAACAAAAAATCTTAACTGGGGGTGGGTGGATGGCAGACACATTCTTCTCATGCTTCAACCAGTCAATTTGATACCATGTAGACAAAAAAGAAAAGGCAGTATTGAGTACATGTATATATAACATATATACATACATTTATATAATCAGTTTTCCTATAAAGTCAGCAGGTACAGTTGATTATTATTTTGATGTGTATTCCTACCACCTAAAATCATAATGGCCTGACATGCATCAATAAATAAATTTTAAAAGCATGAGGTTAAAAAAGCTGAAATTAAATAGATTCTAGATTTGGATTTAGAAGTAGCACTATGTGGAGATGTGGCAATTCCTGCAAGCTTGGTTTTCAATTAAAAATACAAAAGAAAAAAGCAGTAGATGGTTATGGTTCACATTATTTAACTACATAACGTCCTTGCTTGCATGTATCTTTCCAAGGGAGGTGGCTTTAGGGAAGCTCTGGACAAGCTCTTTCACAGTGCTGAGATTGCCTCTGGCCTGCTGCCTTCTTCAGCCTCACCAGCCTTTGACACCTGCAGCCCTTGGCCTCAACGCCCTTTCCAGTGTCCAAGGTCACTCAGTAACTTAAAACAGTATGAAGATTGCAAAGAATCTTTGGTCAGGGGAACAAAGATCCACCATGGAGCACACAGGCCAGAATCCTGTTTGCTGCTCCTCTGGCAGCCTCTATACCAGCTTCTTCACCACCAGCACCGATTAAGAGCAAAACCAACCTTCATCAGCCTTATGGCTACAAACTTCACCAACACTGCTGGGTTACATGTGATACACATTTCATTTTTGTCTGCCACACTTGCCAAAAACATGCCAGAGGCAAACCTTCCAACACCAGAGGAAGTGGATTAATTTTACAAGTGACACGTAAGTCTCCATTGAATTATACCTGCTAAGCTCCCAACCAATTTCAAGCTGTGCATTAGACCAGTCTGACATTAGACTTTCAAAGAAAACAAAGTTCAAAAAAAATCTTTAGTACAGAACAAAGTTTTCTTCTTTAGTGGAAGGGGCATGAGGCAGAAGTCCGGTTTTAAGTATACAACAGCAGACTTTTGATTTAAAAAAAAAGATTGTCGTGGGAGAGATTATGTGTTCTAGTGCTCCGCCTTCCCCATCCATAAACCCTCCCACCCCTGGGTCTCCCGCAGTCTGATGAATGAAATTGTTTGTATTTATAGATATTTTACAAGGTTAAATAAGAACAATAAAAAAATTGAACACTAAAATGAACAGGTTTTTTTTCTTTTCTCTTTTTAATTTTCTTTCCAAACGTGACCAGTGTTGCTGAGTGACACTCAAGTAACTGGTGGTTTTTCCTGTGCAGCTGGCTGCTCGGGACTGTTCAGGTAGAGTTGGAAGCTGCTGCAGAAGCGGCATTATTGGTCTGTCCACGGTCTCCAGCATTAGCATCTGAAATGGAAAGTTCCAAGGCACATCGTGAGCAATGCTTTGACATTCCAAAGAAAACAAGAACTGCCTGGGCATACAGGGAGTTGTGTGGTCTTCCAGGTGGCTATCTGCAATGTTGGTTTAAATGTGACCAACAGTACGAGATGTGAATTTTGCTCTGTATAGAGCAAAGTACATGCCTTGGCATGGTCTTGGTGCACGGATGACAAGAGTGTCTTTAAATAAATTACAGACTCAGAGGATCAGAGACCACTGCTGTCAAAGCTCTTCCTATAGCTGGAATCAGTTGGAATCTAGCTCATTTGAAAATAAATGAGTAGTGCAGAGATGGTGAATAAAAATTCTGAATCATGTTAGACTATGCCATCTGCTTTGTTGGGTGAGTGGGTAAGGGCAATGAAAGTAATGTGGGTCAGTGCTGATAAGCAGAGGTATTGTGCATGAATCAAACTCGTTTGTTTGTTTTCTAAGTACAGTCACTCTTTGTTACTCAGAGGTAGAAGATAGAAAACTGGCAAAAAAGAAAAACCACCATATCACCAATTCACTTACTCAAACCAGTAAGCTATCCTGTAGCCAAACATCTTGGCACTAAGGAGCTTGTCTTGCCTAATATTCTACAAATGCCTACAGCTTTCTACTAAGCTTTGCTCCCTTTCCCTGCTCTTAAGGATTCAATATTTTATAGCATTCATTAACACCGAGGTAGACATCTAACTATGTCCAGATTGGCTCTCCATTCCAAGGAGGCAAAATACTGCCATCCTAGTGGCTAATCATCTGTATCACATTCAATGAGAAGGTACTGCCGGCCAAACTGTCTCCCAAAGATTTCACGTTAAGCCGTAAGCAAGAAAGGCAGCCTGACTGGGATATACAACTTTCAAGAGCTATACTGGGGGCCACACTTCTCTTGGCTATTAAGGTTGGTGACCTCAAAAAAGCAGGCCTAAGAGTTTTTTGTCCTGCTAAAACTGAAGGTATATGTAGTCAACCATATCCTATGATGAGAGCAACCAATGTCATGACTCCATGCAAATATTTGGTTCTGGATTGTTCTACTTTGAATTTCTGAACTGTAATGAAACACACAATATTCTTAAGGACATATAGGAACTTAAGATTTAAAGTTCAGGAAAATATTTGTTTTCATGATTCAAGCACAGGCTGCATTAGAGATGACATTACAGAGAAAGCCTGAAAGGAGATGTTGCTGTTTTGGAATTACAATGTTCCTCAAAAATCCATGCTTATCGTAGCATTTCTAGTGCTCTGGATGACACTCAGAACCTATGCACGGCGATCATTAAACACAGCAGTTCACTGACTTTCAGCATCAGATGACAGAGCTTTCACTCTGATCTTTAAGCCCAGGACTTAAGTGAGGTACCAATTTTGTTTTCCTATTTGACCCACTATATCTGTGCACACACAAGTACCGTGAACAGCTCTGGCCACAGGGTTATTCATTACACTGACAAACACCAGCCAAGAGTGAGTTCAGCAAACACCTTTCCTACAAAGCAATCTGCTCATTTACATTAACCCACTCCTGGCAAAATCCTATCTACCTACCCTTCCAATTTTCAGATGTCTTTTCACAAGTCTGTGAGCTTACAACATTGTCCACAAAAGTCTTCTCTTTCTTGAATAAATTCAAAGACTCTTTGCATGATTACATTAAAATCACAGTCCTTTATATGAGCATATAACCAGAAGTGAATACACCTTAGGGACAAATACAGTCTGACAGCCATGTTTCTAAGGGTTGTGATTTAATGATCTCATATTTTTCCTCAGATTTATATCCAAATCACTTGATGAGTAAATTTTACCAGCTGCATTATAAGCTTTCTTTTCACATTATATTTAGGGAAATATGTGGCTCAAGTAGCCTTTTTAATATGGGGATCAAACTTGCGACTTCATGCTTGCTAGGTAGGTGCTGTGTCACTAAATTATCATTTTTGGAGGATAGGGATGGATATACCAAGTAACATGTTTTACCTAATAAGAAAAAACATTTTTCACAGGAAAACAATTTTCTAAAAGTGATGCCCAGCAATGCTCTGGTGAAAGTAATGATTAAACTATTTAATTTTTTAGGCATTCAAATGCAAACTCACAAGTGAATTTGACACTGCATAGGGTAGATACAATCTCACTGGTATCCGTGAATTTACTAAACTGAATAGTTTGAAATAGTTGTCTAAGGCAGAGCCAATATCCGAGGTACAGTATTATGCATAAAAAAGACACAGGCATTTGGTTTCCATGTTGGTAACATATACGGTCAGCTGTGGTGGCACATGCTTGTAATCCTAACTACTAGAGAGGCTGGGGCAGAAGGGTCACAAATTCAAGCCCAGCTTGGCCACTTCTGTGAGTCACAGACTCAAAAAATAAAGAGGGCTGGCTGGTGATGTAGGTCAGTAATAAGAGTGAGCCTGTGGGTCTGAACCATACAACCAAACACAAATCTGAAAGGAAGCGAGTGGAAGGCAGGAGGCAGACTAGGAAGAGAGAGAGGAGGGAGGCAGGCAGAGAGCAGCATGCTGACACACGGGCAGATGCAACTGCCCCATCCTGAGTAGCTCTGGGGAAATGACAGGACATGTTTTGTGGAAGGGAGTTTGACAATATGCACTGAAAATTACAAAAATCTTCATACCATTTGAGTATTTCTAAATGTACCTAAAATTATTTTAAGAAAATAAAGTTTTATGCAGCAATATTTTCAAAGCATTTTTGAGAAGACAAAAAAAAAAAAAATATGGATGCAACCCTAATGTCAAAGAATAAGGAATAAATTATAATATATCCTTATAAAATCAGTTAAATTCTATATTTTCATAAATGGCATAAGTTTAACAGAAAAGCACTCCATCTGCCCATTCATATACAGACTCAGGTATCATATTAATGTTATTTGTCATCATTGTTAGAAGAATTCAGTAGATCCTTATTTTCTAAAATAACTTTTTTAGGGCTGGGGATTTAGCTCAGTGTAGTGTAAGTGTCTGCCTGGCAAGCACAAGGTCGTGCCCAGAACCCAGAGAAGAATCTCTGCTCAACAAGTTACACACTTTGATGATATTTTACATACACGAGTTAAAATAAAGAGAAACCACAAAGGACACTATAAGGAAAGGGAAAGCCAGTGAGGGCTTATGTCACAGATTCCACAACTAGACAAAACATGAATAAAACTTTCCCAATGTTCATTGTAAAACTAGCATAGAGGCAAGGACAGGTGCACTTAGGGAGGGGATGAGGGATGGTAATTTGTAATGGAAAAGTAAGCATCTGCTAACCTGACTTAATCTGCTCAATAGTTCATCTCTCAAAAATAGTGACAACAGAACAAGCCAAGACCTCCCTGCAAGTCGGTGTCACGTGCGGGCCGATGAAGGGAGATCAGAAGCCACCTCTCTCCAGTATACCAGCTGGGAGACAAAGAACCAAGGTCCTCCCACTCCACCATAAGCAACCAGATGATCTGAAGAAACACAGGCTGTGAGACAGCTATTGAGGTAAAATACAACTTAATGCTTGTAGTGTTTAGTATTTCACTGACTTTGCAGGCCTAGAGCCAGGAGTCTGAACATCTATTCAGAAGATAACAATATACAATGGGGCATCTATGGGAAATCTCCTTCTGAAGGTGGTGGCCATTGTTAATTCCCTATTATCTTGTTTTGAAGTCCTGTATCATTTTTATTGTTTTGTTGGGTTTTATTGTTTTGTTTTGTTTGATTTTATTATATCCAATGGCATGGGCAGTTGTTTCAAAGATAACAAGATACATTATGGTAGCCTTGTTGGATTTGCCATTATCTTGAAGTCCTTGATTGTGTTCATTGTTTTGTTTTTATTAGTTCCATTCTGTTTTGATTTTTACTATATCTAAAGTTATGAGTAGCTATTTTGAAGACAACAAGAGCGTTGTTTAACCAATGCTATTTCCTATTATCTTGCTTTGAAGTCCTATGTCACTTGCACTGTTTTGTTTTGATTTGCTTCATTTTGTCTTATTTTGCTTGGTTTTGTTCTCTTTAACATAAAAATTATAAAAATAGTGGCAACAAATAATGGGAGAAATTATTTTGGATTTAATTTTGCCCAACTAGAAAGAACTGGCTGGTGATACAGAAGGTATCATGAATGCTGGAATAAAAAATAATTGTAGCAGTAAGAAAAAGAAATCACTCTGGCTAAATCTGAAGGAGATTTTAGCAAAATGGATTTCAAACAGTTCACAGGACAAATGGCTACACTTTGTGGCTAAAGTCTTCAGGCAGACAATTATAAAACAAACTGCATCAAGCAACTGGAAATAATTTCACTGCAAAGTAAAGAAAAAAGGACCAACTAAAAGAATTTTTTCTGATGAGTGCATAATTTAAAAAGTATTTAAGAAGCACACGCATATTCAAAAAATAGAAAAAGCACGAATTGGTAAGAACAGGCTAGAACTGATTTAAATACGGTACTACAGAGAGTTTTTCAAGGCAAGACAATTTCAGTCCCTCACTAGGTAACATTAGAGAGACTTATCTAACTCCTATTATGATTCCCTCTACTGGGAGGTTTCATAGATATAAGAAAAATCCTAATGAAATGCAGAGAAAGGTAAGTGAGTACAATCTATATATTTTAAATACCTTCCAACTAAGAACCTACAGTTAAAAAATTATAATTGAATTGTATAATTCACTTTACAATATTTAGATACTAGAAATTTCCCTAAGTTTTGAGAAATAACAAAAAAGTAATTAATTTTCCATCTTTAATTGGGTTACTTTTTTGATGGAAAAGACTATAAATGTTTTCTTGACATCATTTTCCAAAGTTTCTCACAACATTGTAGTATTAGTCTAGAGCTAAGCAAACAAAGGTAATCAATCATACTGTGATCACTGAAAGAATAATTCCTAGTAAGCCTTGCACATTTCTCTAAGTTCTCTACTCTGGGGAAGAGTATTTCAATAGACCCTGCT